CCTATTACATGTATTTTGGCAATTCATTGGGGATGGAAAGAACCTTTATCTTTCTTGCCTTTGCCTAAGAGCAAGAAAGAGGAAATTAAATGTGTTTTCAGGTATTTAAGTTCTTGAGACTGAAAACATTTGGTGAACACAAGCAGTAATAAGAAAGTGGATAAGTTTTATTTCTTCCACTTGGTTTGTGAAGTAGGCAAAGAGGTATTCTAGAGTGGAATTCTGCCAATACACCCATACTTAAACCATGAAGAATTTCCTTGCAGAAAGAAGAATTGTCAAATAATGATTCCTGCTGGAATAACTGCATATCTTCAACCTCTTGATATTGCAATAAACAACCCATTTAAAGACTATTTATGCATGGAAATCAATGGCTACATTTCAAATACAATAAGAAATCAACAAGGAAATTTTATGAAGCCCAAGGGACAAGAAATCATTACTTATGTGAAAAATGCATATGATAAAATAATGGACAGCTGTGTTGCAAATGCCCTATGAGGAGGCTGCTTAGACAAGAAGAGCTCATTTGAGGAGAGTGCCATTGCTTAAGAAGCTAGGGCCAATGATCTTATAAGAAAGGAAGTTCCAAAAAAATTCAGGCCTGGATTTGTGATTTGGAGCTCTATGACGTTCCAGAAGAAGATGACATGGCTGAATTAGAATAAATGATTTTGCTAATTTTTGATTGCTTCTTGAGTGTGAATAAATGTATTTCTTGAACCTGAATAAATGTATTTCTTGAACCTGAATAAATGTGTTTCTTGAACATGAGCAAAAATTAATTATTGTGCATGGAAAATTAGACATTATTTGGAAATAAGCCCTAGCATGTTCTTAGCAGCAAAAATTAATATGAGACCGGATCTTATTTTCAGGAAAACAGTGTATTGATAACCTCTTGCTTTTGGAGATGGCTATTCGGAATGCTTTTGAAAAGATGGCAGCATTTGGAAAGATGGAAAGTATGTCTTTCCTTTATGAAAAAGAAATACAGAGTTTTTGTCTCTTTTTATGTGCAAAAAGTCTGTGAGAAGACTTGGAGGTATGACATTCTCTGAGACTCATATTGTGGCCATCTGTACCCTAACCTACCAAGATTTTTGCAGAAATTTTTGAGTGACTGAAAATTTAAAGTTAGGTTATGTGATATCTGATAATCTAATTCAAGAAGAGCACAGGGTTGTTCGCTGAGTGTTACACTTTTTAGCCTCAAAATTAATTCTCTTTTGAAAGAACTCTCCCTAGCCATAAGTAGAGCTTTATATGTTTATAATCTTCAGATAAGCTGCCAAGAAACTTATGTGCATTGCCTAGAAAGACTATTGCAGATTGCCTGAAAGAAGACTTATAGCGAGAGATTTAAGTACTCTAACCATTTGTGTCAATTTTTATCATAAGGAAAACCTACTTCCCGATCCAGAGTTTCTGATATGTCTGGAGCTTGATCCCTGAGGTAAAATTTCTCGGCCTCGTATTTTAATAGAAAGTTAACTTTTGTAGTTCACATTAGATATTTGATGAAGAAATGTTTAAAGTTTCTTAACCTATTTAAAGTTCTTTCGATTATTTGAGATGCAGATTTCTCTTTGGTGCTCCTCATCCTCAGGGTACTAAGCTCTAAATTGGACCATGGTTCCATCATCTGTGGATCAATATGGCTTTCTGCCATGGCAAAGTTTGATGCTGTATGCCACCTAGCTTTATGGATGTGCTTAACTGCATTCAGAATTTCCAAAATGCAAAGCACATAATCAGAATGTGTTAAACAATCACTAAAATTAAGCCTGGATCTTGAATTAGAATCTGATTCTAAACAGAGGACAAAAAAGAAGCAATTCAAATAAGAGAGGAATGACAGTTACAAAAGAATGATCTGCAATTAATTTAGCATCTCCCCAAATCAGTGAGCCATGCATTAATGTAGTCACTAGAAGCTCTGGATATATGTATGACAGTGTAATCTATTTTTATCCAAAATTATGTGTTTTATGTAATTATTAAATAATAATTACATCATAAAGCAGAAGCAATTCACATTATTTAGATTTTATTATATTTGTTCCAATAGTAGAGCTTTATGTTAAACTTAAAAAAAAAAAAAAAAAAAAAAAAAAAAAAAAAATCATAATTTATATATCAATAATTTTTTTTCCCTTCCTACCTTCAGTCTTTCCGTTTGGTTTTTATAGCATTGTGATTTACCTCTCAGTAATTATGAGCATATCTTTCTCTATAATTAACAATTACAATACTAATTAAGACAATAACACGCTGAACAAATACTAATTCAGAAGTCAAACAACAAAAATCAGAGTTATATTTTCAAAATTTTCACAGGACTAGTTTCGATGGTTTTACCGAACCACCATCCTCAGCTGCAAAACCGCAAATGAACGTGATAGGATTTAGTGATTAGATTAGATAAGATAAGAAAGCTTGGACAAGAATAAGCAAGTGACGCCATCTGTTGAGGAAACCAGAACTAAAACATAATTTCTTTAAAGGCCGAAGGCAAAGTTGAATTGGAATTAGGATCGTTAACTAGAACAGAAAGATTTTTTTTTAATGTGAAAAGCCTCTAGAAAATCCAGTTCTCCAATGGAAGATGTTTTTGAGTGTGATTTTCGGACCAACAATGTTGAGCAACAGAAGACTTCTGTGTTTCCTTTTTACTAACATATGCCTCATGTTCCTTGATGCGAAATTTTAAGGCTCTCTTAGTTTGGCCAATGTAAATTAAACCACACAGGCAAGAAATCCTATAAATGCCCCAGGAATTCATATCCGGAATGGGGTCCTTGAGTATGGAACTCTGAATTTTATTGATGGGAGAATTATTGACCCAAAAGTTAAATTTCTGCAAAATATGTGCAACTTTATAGCTAATTGATGGAAAGAAGGGTTTGACAGCAGAATTTTTATAATCTCCTAAAACAAGAGTGTGCCTTTTAGTGTGTTGAGAATTTTTTAACTGCTTGATTAATAATGTTGGGTGAAAAGCCCCTGTCAATAGCTATTGCTTTTGAATAATTTAGTTCTTCATCAAGGGATAGTTTTGAGGAGAAAACTTGAAGAGCACGGAAAACATAGGAATAAAATGAAGCTTCAACAAAATTTCAATGTTCTAAGGCTACTTGTTTTTGAGTTATGCAAGATACATACGTATGCACAGACGCCATGTAAAGTTCTCTTCAGAATTCATTTAAAATCAGTTTTATAATTTTTGTGGGGAAAAAAGAATCCTTTATTCTGTGCTTACATACACATGTCACGCAAAAACATCGTTAAATTGCATTCGTAGCGGTCAAGATGGATATTTTCATTGAAATAGGATACCTGAAATTTTTCGCAATTACAATAATTCCTTTTTATTTCGTACAAGGAAGTAAAAAAAAAAGGCTATTTTTCAAACTTGGCTGTACACCTAGAATTGCAAGAGACATCCATAATAAATTACTTACTCCCCTCTCCATGTTCACAGTGATCTGTTTTTGCTTGAAAAACATCAGAGAACTGTACAAATTCCTTATTTGGTGCACAAATTTGGATCCATAAAATTTATCATTGATAAAGCACATCATTTCAGAATGTGAAATTTTGCATTTCGTACTGTTGGGCAAAATTCCATCTATCTGAAGAAATATAACACTTTCTTTTTTCATCAGACAGCAAACTCCACAGTTCCATTGTGATTGCTTACAAGAAAGAAAGAAAAATACACTCAATACAATAAAAACAAATATGAATGATTGCTGTCAAACAAATATTATTTATCATTTATGCAGAGGGAAACAAAAACAAACACTAATGACCACTGCTCGTCTGCTATATGGGTGTGAATATCTGAATTACTACATAAATACATCAGTAGTGAAAGATTCAACATTACAGTATATTTTAGCTTAAATAGTAGAAGAAAATAACTCAGGATTTAATTAAGCTGAATTTCAAAGCTATCCTTTCTATCATTTCATTTCTATTACTTGACTATTTAAATATCTGAACTATCTTGTTAAGACTTAAATGCTTTATGAATTTGATTTGACTTGACCAGCATGTCAGAAATATTATCCATGATGCCATTACACTGCTATAAGATATTCAGTACTTTAGATATATGTTGATTTAAAAAAAATAGTGATTAAAACATTTAGCTGCTTACTTTTCTTTCTTTTTTTAGCTGTACTAATAAACCACAGAGCAATCCAACAGCTACTCTGAAGACAGAGAAATGCAGCTTGCACAAATGTCTATTTGAGGGACACATTTAATACAAATTTTGTGTAATTTACTGACTAGTAAAAGACCTTTTTTTTTTTTTTTTTTTTTTTTTGTGCTCATATCACATGTGCAGCTGTTATTTTAAATACATAATGTATAAAAATTGCTTGCTAATTAGAGCATCTGATATAGGCCATATTATTCTGTATTAAGGTTAGATGATAACTGAATTGGTTATATCTTTTCATTCACATTAAAAAAAAGTGACTCGGTGGCTTAGATGGAACCAAAATTAGATTTGAGTTTTTTAATGTTTCTTATTGGAAAAAATTACATATAAAGCAAAAAAAATGTTGATGTAAATTTAAAGTTGAGAGAACTTTAGATATGAAGAATATGTTAGGTATAACTTTTATTTATTTCTTTATTGTACAGCTGGATAAACTTTTTTTTTTCATTTAAAAAAGTCAGTTTTTGTATTTATATATGCTGCTGGTATATTTATTTTATTGCTTAATTGTCAATAATGGTTTTCATTTATTTATTTACTTTCTTTTCATCTCAAAACTACTACCAGCATCTATGTCATATAAAGATTTTAATGCATATATAATATTAAAATCTTATTGAAAATATTTAAATACTCTTTAAAGAATATTAAGTGTTCATTTACACATCATATGATTTTCTTTAAATTTAAAACAAGTGTATTTGCATTATATAAATTTCTATATGTGTCTTTACTGTGAAATTTCTTTAACATAAGTTTTTAGAAAATCGATTTTCCCAGTAATTTACAGCTATCATTGTCACTTTCTGTGTTATCTGTTGGATTATGGTGGTATTTTGATAGGACGAAAGTTGGTTTTGGAATTGGAGTTATAGTTGCAATTTTAGCCACATTTATCACTCAAATCCTTGTGCATCATCAAGTATGCTTGTAAGTATTTTAACCACAGTCCTAATTTACTCTTATTACTTTCTAGAAGTACATTTGATTCATAAGATGGACATTTATAATGCATATTTATATTTGCTGTGTACTTAAATATTGTCTTCCTTTTATTCATAATTGGATGCACCAAATTCTAAAATTTCAACATTTAGATTTATTATTTATAGAGAGTGAATCAACAATCTGTAGAAAATATCATTCAAATATGGTATTCTCAAAATTAGGGCAACGGCAAAATTATTTCTTTATTGTACAGCTGGATAAACTTTTTTTTTTTTTACAGAGTAAAAATATTTTGAAATTCACTAACTGATGCACTGAATATTTTTTAAATACAATGAAAATAGATGGGATTTATTATAACAGCAAGTAGTCAATGTGATCTATACCCCAAGTTATGACATAATTCTTATGGATAGTGGCACTTTTGATTTCAGAGTACAATAAGTCTGAAGGGATGGAACTCAGTTCGTAGTGAAAGAGATCTTTCTGTTTTCATTATGCATTTGGGTCTGACTTATAAACCCCATACTAAATATCCCACAACCTAAAATTTATTGGTTTCATATCTAGAGTTAAGGAGACTATAGGATCATGTTTTACATATTAATCTGTCTTCACCAAATATTTCCATCAAGAATTTCTTTTCAGAAAGTAAAATGTGAGCTGGTATTTCATTCTCCATAAACATGGCAACACATTTCATTCTAATAGAGACAGCATAATTTGAATTTGCTGCCGTATTAAATAGCATTGCATGTTTATAAGTTCATGGGTAAAATTAAAGGGCTAAAAAATTTAAACTGTATCAAACTGTTATTCATGGTGAATGAAGTGTTTGTGACGTGTGTACACATGTGTACGAATACTTATCCATCTGGAAAATTTGTGTGTATTCCTATCACACCCTAAAAATAAGTTTCATGTTACCATGATACACATATATACATTTCGACATCTTCACAATTTTTGACACACAGTCCATAGGGCAGGTTTTTTTGTGCATGTATTATATGTTATTATAAACTGGTGGAATTACTGGAAATTGTAGAGGCAAAGATATCATGAATGATATGCTATACAGAGGAGGAAGGCATATTCTGCTGCCTTGCAGCTTCATAGCCACTGCAAGTCCTAATATCTGTTTGAGATAGTAGCTTTTCAAATTCTGATGTCAATGCATTGACACAGAACAACAAGAGTATGGACCAGCTGCTTTGCTAATAATTAAGGAAGTAATTTCCTTGTGTGGGGGTCACAATTTGTACGATGAACATATGGTAAATAATGAAAAGTTGTAAAACTTTTATGACCTGTAATTTACCACTCACAATTTTATGAAACATTTCATGATTCATGCGCTTTGATATTGACATTTTTGGGGGGGGAGGGGAAGTAACATAAATACTAAAGAACATAACTAGATATTACGTTAAGCGTTTTTATCTGAAATTTATATTTATAAACCAATAATATTTAATGATTTAAAATCTAACATATTTGGTATCAAATATTTTATCTTTAAGCAAAAGAATATATAGAACGTATATCAAGAAAAGATGTATATTAATGATTAGTTTAGAATGTCTGTAAGTGTTTTTTAATTTAAACTAAAATATACAACGTAACCAAGAAAGTTCTTGCCATTTCTGATATGACATTGGAAGAGTGAACCCTAGCATAAAAATAGTCACCAAATTTGGCAACGAAGTGGTTAGGATGGGAGTACGGACATTGACCAAGAGTATAAAAGCACGTTGCATTGGTACTTCAAATGTAACTCACACGGCGACTGATTGAAATGGACTTGTCAAAAGTGCTGGTTCGGAGTTGTTTGCTGTATGATTTTAAAGTGGGCTCGTGAGCAGCAGAATCAAGTCGCTGATTTTGCCAGGCCTCTGGGGATGATGCTGTTAGTAAATGAACTGCTGGGCAATGGTTCCAAAAGATCCTTCCAGAGATCAAGGAATATGTCTTTTAGTGATACACCATGCAGCGGTCAGCCACAAGCGCTGTATGATGAGGCCTTGGGAGCAGCCATAGAGAGTGACAGTAGCCAAACATATGGTGAGCTTGCCGCACACTTCCAGATATCTGATGAAACAATCAAATTCCATTTGCACCAATAGGAAATCATACAAATTGAGCAAGTGGGTACTCCACACACTGTTCGATGCAAACAAGGAACAGTGTGCCGCTGGCTGTTTGTCATTGCTTACTCAGCACTGCAGTGCATCCATATTTGATCGAGTACTCACCAGTGATGAAACATGGGTCCAGTATGACACACCTAGGCGTTCCAGGCATTGTTGTCTCCACGGGATCCTGTATCTCACACTATGAAACCTTCTTTCCACCCATGCAAGATCATACTCTGCATCCAGTGGACTAGTCACCAAGTGGTGCACTATGAGCTCCTGCAGGGGGGCCAAACCTTGCCTGTGCTCGTAGCAGTAGGAACATGTGCATCAAGCACTCATGCATAAAGAGACAGCATTGGTCAATTGTAAGGGTGTACTCCTCCTCCATGACAATTAAAGGCCTCGTGGCTCGGGAGGCCAGGGATACCATCCAGCCACTAAGCTGGGAGACACTACCCCATCCACTAAACTTAGACCTCGCACCGACAAACTACCACCTTTTCCATTCCTTGGACAACCATCTTCGTGGGAAGTCCTTCAACAACCAGCCAGACCTCAAAAAGGGCCCTCACGGACATCTTTGCGTCAAAGACTTGTGACTTTTACCGCGATGGCATTGCACAGCTAGCCACTCGTTGGCAAAAGGCACTGGTTACTTTGAGGATTAGTGGTGGATTATTATTTATGTCTTATTGTTTTAAAGAACGAGAAAAGTCATTTCTATTTTTTATCCAGAGCAGCAAGAACTTTTTGGTTGTAGTAATATTATAATTTAATAACATTTAAAATTAAATAGTCTGTCATAGTAATTCATAATTGGCTTAGCTTTAACCCAAAGCATTTCTTTCATTATGAATCTTATATTTTTAGCATCAAATATTCCTAGTTTTAATTTGTTTTTACAGTACATGAAATGATTAAAGTTTACTAGCTGATACTTAGACGATTCATATGATAAATAGTCTGATTTAGTTTATTTCTGGTGTTGTTACAGAGAAATAAAAAGCAACTTCCTATAAACTAAGTTGTGAATTTTCTGTTCCTGTGAGGGAAGAGAAAAGTTAAATATTTTAATTATGAAATGAAGTTAAAATTTATGTAAAAAATCATGGACAAAACTGTCTGTTCTTTATGTAACAAAAGTAAATTACAAAAGTGAAAAGAACATTTATGGGATAAAACCAGCGATAGTAGACGATATCATTATATCATTTGGGAGAAGTTTATATCCACAGCAGAAAATAATGCAATTGTTCATCATCCCGAATATATATAAATATAATGCAATAAAAAACGAAAAATTCTAGTGAACTGATTTACATGAGCAGGAATTCAATTCAAGCTGCGTGTCCCTTTTATTCGAATACCGATTTAATTTACATAACCCCCGCCCCAAAATATTACGCCGATTAAACTGTTACATGTGCTATGCGAGTACCTGTGTTGTAGCATAAATACTTTTTGGTAATGGTAACATCATGGTTTGACACATAACTATTTTTGTGATATATTGCTTTTCTACATGAATGCTTTATCATAATTTTTCACCAGTGGTTCAAATAATCAAAGTATCAAATGATTTGTTAACAGAGTTCTCATCTATACTTTTAAAAATGACTTTTATATACATTGTAACATAATTGTCATCTAAAAATTTAAACATAACTTTCTTTCATATTTCCAAAAGAAGTAAAAGGAAAATCTATACAAATCTTATGTTGCACTTTTATTTTTTACCCTAAAAATATTGCTTTATAGATAGATAGAGAGATGATGAGTATTGTCGAAGTTTCACAGTTTGTTTATTAATTTGTAGGTATTCTGAAAGGGAATTTCTCTATGTGAGATCTTGGTTACCTTGTGTTGTTTTTTCTGGAGGCATAACAATTGCAAATATTGGAAAGCAGTTGGCAATGGTAAGTTCTGATTTTATTTTATTGCGTTACAATTTTATAAAATTAGTATAAGCATATAATTATTCTTGAATAAATATTTAATAAGCCAAATAAACTAGCAAATATTGTATTTTGAATTTTAAATATATTGATATATTTTCTAAAGTAGTGGAAAATTACATTATTTGCAAGTTTGATACTTCAAAATACAGTAAAAAGTCCATAATCCGGACTCTGTCGGGACTTCGGCGATTCTGGATTAAGGGTTTTTCTGTTTTATAGAACATCAATTTAAATCTGGTAAGATGGCATGCAGAAATTATACAATTAAAAATATGAAACCGTAATCTATGGAATAAAGAGCAATTATGATCTAAAGGGTATCAAAATTTATATATAAAAAAAAAAAAAAAAAACCTTAATATTTATTTGTTTACTTTATTAAACATTTCTTTCAATGTAAGTTGTTTAAGTTGATTTGTTTTTTGTGCTAATACTTTCTCTTTAATTTTCTCTTCTATAAACAGTCTCTCTCTATAAACAGTATCTCTTCTCTTTACGTGCATGCGTAAAAGCATAAAGTTTGTAGCTTTGAGGTCCGGATAATAGATCATTCCAGATTAAAGACTTTGTACTGTACATGGACAGTTAGGGTTATTATGAGAGTAATTTTAGAAGTAATAATTAAATGCAGAAATAGTATAGCTGTATACAAGCTATTATGAAAAAATTTTGGTAAACTATGATTGATAATGGAGTTTCTAAAATAAATTTTAGTAGGAGTATGACATTGCTACCTATTTGAGTCTTCTTTTATTTCTTTCAGATGTTAACCCTGTTAGCTCTGTGGTTTTTTAAATCTAGTGAACTGCTGTATTTAAGCATCCATTAGCTAGATTTCTAAAATTATATATTTTGTTCTTTGTTTTCATAATCTTTCATTAGTAAGGATTCATTTAGATCATAAAAGAATGTAAGGAGATAAAATATTTGAAATAACTATTTATTCAAAAGGATCAAGAATTTCATGATTGGATGAAAGTGAGCTTGCCACTCAAACGGTAAGTTAATCTTAAGAAAATGCTTTTCTCAGCATCAAAACGCACGTAAAACATACATAAAAGTCTTATCTTTCTTACACAAATTTGCTTTTAGATTCATTTTTGTGCAATTCCATGAAGTATTTATTATATGTACTTCTAATAAGACAAAAACCACAAACCATTTCTTTTCCCTTTTTAAATTTAGTTAATTAAAAAAAGGAATTAATTAAATTTAGTTTTTTAATTAAGTTTGGATAAAATCAGGCATACAAAAGAAATCCTGTTAAGAAATCATGATTTTAAATTCACATTCTACTGAAACAGCAAGAATAAAACAAAGATAAAAATAAAAAGTAATAATAACAGTAATAACAAAGAAGAACGTTACAGACAAAATATAATTACTGCAGAATACTGAAAAATATAAAACTCAAACATAAAAGATCATAAAAAGATTATACAAAACCAAAAAGGTTTTACATTTCTCATGGCATCTTCATCAAAAGGCTTATGTCTCTATAAATGGACACAATATGCGCACAAAAATAATGATTTATTTATAGGTAATTTAATGATAGAAGACAGCTGTAAACTCTTGTGGAGATGGAGCAGCAGACTAACAGGCGAACATTCCAAGTTCAACACATAATTTATTCCTGAATATATTTGATACATATCTTCAATCACACATCATTAATTTCTTAGGAGATATAGTCTTGATTTTCGCATTATTATGGGTGCAGTAAGCATCCACACAAATCTAAATACTACAAATTCACGTTGCTAGACAATATCTGATATGGCAAAGTGATTAATTATATATTTGCAAAGGGAGGAAAGTGACTGCATATTCAGCAGCTGGGGCATATATAAACTCGGCTCCTTTTTTGAATGGCAGTTGGACAAGAGCTCTGCAGCATTGGTGATCAGAAGGAATAATGATGTAAATGATGCAGTACTGATTCTTTGAAGAGAACATATCCAAATAAAAGTTAGAAATTGAAAGGGCTGTGCCTAATTTAGTACACCAAAAAGAGAAAATTATATCAAGTTTCCTTCTCATCTGTGTATGTTGGTTACGTTTTACCTCCTTACTCTATTATTTTACTACTTTGTATGTGTTTAACAAAGGATCAGTGGTCCTGTTGATGAGGTTAATCAAGTTTTCAATTGAGCACGCTAATCAGTGTTAATGCTCTCAACCTTATAGCTGCATATGCTGAGCAGATGGCAGACCAGTTTTTGGCAATTTCACACAGGCTTTAAAATTGGCTTTCCATATTGTTTTCCACTGAATGGAGGTGTCCGGCGAAAACATCACAAACGATAACGTCGTAGAGAAAACAACGCAAGGTCAAAACATCGTGGGAGAAAATATCATCGTCAAAAATAAAGCGGTTCAAAAACTTCACAGTTTAAAAATATCGTGGTAAAAAATAAAGTACCTACAAATCATCACACGACATGTGTCTTTAACACATGCTTTAATAATTGTAAGGATTTGTGAGCGTAAGTTGGAAAGAAGGGTGATTTTACTTTCATATTTTTTTATTAACTAATAAATATTTGCTGAAAATGTAATATGGAAACTTAAGCATACAAAATGTTAAGAATAGAAAAATTCTATTAAGTGCTATAATGCAACTTATAGCACTTAATAGAATTTTAAACTGACATAGCTAACTAACAAAGGTTGTTAATAAATTATTTTTATAGAGTTTTGCTGGTAATTTTTCATGAAAAGTATAATCTAAGAAAGACTAGAAAAGGAAAGATAAGTAACTGCATGACCAAGGAAAGATAAGTAACTGCATGACCTTATCTATAAAAAAATTACTAAGTTAATTATGAGATTATTTTCTTCACTTTTGTTAATCTGATACTCTTAGAGTGAAAATTATTTCTTGTTTTGTTTAAATTTCTTTTTTCTTAAATTTATTAGTTAATAAAAAAATAGGAAAGTAAAAGTTATCCTTCTTTCCATCTTGCTCTCACAAATCATTATGCAAATATCCATTTATAATTATTAAATTATTAAAGCATTAAAACACATGTCTGAGATGATTTATAGGTACTTTATTTTTTATCACGATATTTCCAACGACAATGTTTTTAAACTGCGAGGTTTTTTTAAGCGCTTTGTTTTCGATGATGATATTTTGTACCATGATGTTTTCTCTTTGCTGATTTTCTCCCACGATGTTTTGTACCATGACGTTTTCACCTTGCATTGTTTTCTCTGTGATGTTTTTGGCTGTAACTGAATGGGGTGAGAGTTCAATGTTTGTGTGTGTAAGACCTAAAATATGTAACTCAAAATTATTAACTTTAATTTTGCAAGAATCCTTTTTTTTTTTTTTACTGTCCATTTTAATTTGGCTAGCTTTCCTTTCTGTTCTAAATTGTTTGCAATAATTTTTCTTAATTACATCTTGCCAAATTAATTTTCACGGCTAGCCCAATAACTCTACTCTAAGGAAACCCATCAACCTGCTTCCCACCAGCACTACTCAAGAAGCTTAAAATATGCCAGTTTATCACCACCAACGGGAAAGCATTTTTCTATTGAAGTGTAAAAATAATTTACTTAGGCCAAATTTGCCAACAGCTTATTTAGATATTTAAATATAAGAGGTTCCACAATTTATAGGAATTCTAAATAACTTTTCAGCAAGAATAAATTTCTTATTGTGTATTATATGGGGTAAAAATAAAGAAGTCATCTATGTATATTTAATAATCTCATAATCACAAAAGTTACAAAAGTTCTTACACATAAGCCATAATTAATACATATGACATTTATGATATTCATTGACAAGATTAAGTTGTTGTTACATAAAATTAGAAATGCAATTTAAGGATAACATAAAACAAAATATAAAGCACAAATCAACTTCCAGTTAGAACTACAGTTATGCTGTTAAAATATAAAAATAAAGTTATATTTTTATTGAAAATTTTTAAATAAAACTGTCATCTTTAACTAATATTTTATTCGTCTACACATCAGACAAAATAGAAAGATTGGTTAACGTATGTATTGTTGATCTTAAACAATTTTTTATCAACATTAATTTTTGAAAAGCTTTTCTCACAGCCAGTATTGCTTTTGACAGTTGTGAGGAATATTCGGAGCATTATCATAATATTGGGCAGAGATCTTCCAGCTTGGATTTCAGAATAAATTGCAATAATCTGAGGGGGTCCATGGTAATTTATTTTAGTTGCCCAGAACAGCTATTGTTGAACTCGTTTGAACTTGAAGTACTATTCATCAATTTCGGCACATGCATAATCCCTAATCAGCAGATGCACACTTTCCATTTAGTGTCATTCCAGTCTAAAAGTATAGCTTGCATTAGATAAGCAAACTTTTCCCTCAAATTCCATACCTGCCAAAATCTCTTGCGGATTTCTACCATTATTTTGTCTAAAGGAGAAAACAGCTTCTGTCTTAACTGATTTTTATCTTACAAATTGACATCTCTACTTCTGTCATCAGAAATATGCATTTTTGTTTTGTGCCTCTGAAGTTCCATGGAAATGCCAAGTCTTCACATGCATTTTTTGTATAACTTACAGTGCTGTACGTCATTCCTCTTGTTTCGCTATGAGTATTACCTGCAAAGCACTTTTCCAGGTGCACAGTTTTATATCAATTTCTTATGTAATTATTTTTTTGCATCGTTCATTTCATATAGCTCAGGTTGCCAGAATCACCAAAAAGAAAGATAGGAAAAAATGACTGCATTGCAGCTAGCAAAGTTCCTGCATCTGTTCTTATGTTTAAGTTTTCATCCATCTCTATTAGTTTTCCCAGAGTTACCAAAATGTCTTTGTAATGATGCTGTGTCATATTTATGGCATTGCCTTCTCTGCTACACCACATATCCAGAACCTTTTTTAAACTTTTGCTTCTAGTTGCTATTAGAACTCCACAGTAATGTGTAAACATGGAAAAAAATAAATAGCGGTGTTCTAATGTACTGAAAAAAAGTTACTGAACTCGCCTCAGCTGAGACAGCATGTTAACAAACCAGATTTAACAAATGGTTTGAGCAAGGTACAAATTCAATTTTGGGATTTATTTCTTTTATTCTTTGCTGAACTCCTGAATGCCTTTCATAAAAGCATCCTTATCATATGCTTGGCCTATAAAATTAATTATATTGAGACCATCAGCTTCAAGCTTGCTCAATATCATATTTGAAATTCCTTCAGCAGTTTTATTTTTTGTTTCAATGAAATCTGTAACAGATTCCTTGACTTGTACGTCACAATTTTCAGTTGTTATGTATCTTAATACCTGGCAATTTCAGTCTTTATGAGAAAAATCTGGAGTGCTGTCAAATGTAATCAAATAATGTTTGGCCTTTTTTAATTCCGCAGATTTAGTAGTGATATGCTGAACAGCTTCATGGCCTTGCTGAATGAACAACAGTCTCATATTTTGATCAATCTGTTCAGGCTTTTTTTTCTTTTCTTTTATATATATATATCTGTATATGCATATTTAGTGCGACTGATTGCAACGAAAAAAGAGGAGATTCATGAATACATATTATAGTAGTCCCATATACAACATTTCTACGTTTTAACATATACAAATTTCTATGTTTCTTCATTTTTCAGTTATAAGTTATACATACATATGTTTTTTCTTGACATATGTATGTCAAGAAAAAAAAAAATCTCTTCTGAATCCATTTTACAATTTGTTTTGGTGAACACAATCCTTTTTTCTGCCCATACGTACATATTTCGTACAGAAACATAATTCGGCTGGATTCGAGAGCAGTTGAAATATAATACCTGTAATAATCACATGGTTAGCCAAACATGTAGACCATTGATTTATAGTTTACATAAATTTTATTGACAAAGTTCAATAATTTAACAATCACAAATTGCAACATGCACTTAAAAAAATCGTGAATTGTAACTGGTTAATTGAGTCAATGTGAATTAAAGGACTGATGTAACAGGTGTTATTAGACAATATTGAACTCTATTCTTGATGTGAAAGAATGAATTTTTGCTCAGTATTTATTATAAACAATCCAAGCACAGTATAAAGCACGGGGAATAATCACAAGGCAACTGGTTAGTACAGACGGTGTTGCCAGTTGATGAAACGATTGAGATTACTACACTTCCTAAAGAAAGGGGATTGCCCAGTTCTTTTACAGATTAAATAATAAAAAGTTTAATTTTAATCAGTCCAAATTGCAGGTGCAGCAAAATTATGAAAAGGGATGGTTAAAATTTTTATTTCAGATTATGACTTATTATTATTATTATTTATTGTGAAATTTGCCACCCCTGTCACTCTATGCTACTGATCAAAACGTACGCAAACGTCTTCCACCTATGCACCAAAGTTTACTAACTTTGATTGATAATAGTCTCAAATCACTGGCACACCAAAGTTTACTAACTTTGATTGATAATAGTCTCAAATCACTGGCCAAATTATATTTAACATTAATATACAATGAAACAATATTTTTGAAGATGTAAGTGCAATTTCAATAATTTCCAGATTTTCATGAACGTGTTCCTTGAAAAACTGGCCATATAGGACAGTTAGCAGCATTTTGCAATATGGCAATATATGTTATCAGTTACGCACAGAACATAACCTTCTTTGATACAAAAGGGGTTATTTATAAACAAGTTCACGAGTGCTAACTGCTGATAAGCGCCACTATGTGTGACCCATTTTTCGTCACGTAGGGTTAAAATATTTGCTAAGTACAGTCAAAAGTCTTCAATCTGGACTCGTCGGGACTTCGGCGATTCCGGATTATCGATTTTTTCAGATTATAGATCATCAGTTTAAATACGTAAGATGGCATGCAGAAATTATGAAATAAAAAATATGAAACTGTAATTTATGAAATAAAGAGCAATTATGATCTAAAGGGTATCAAAATTTACAAAAAAAAAAAAAAAAAAAAAAAAAAAAGCTTAATATTTATTTGTTTACTTTATTAAACATTTCTTTCAACGCGCGTATGCATAAAGCATACATTACACATAGTCGAAATTAGAAAATTGCAACCAGAAAACTTTTTGATGTGTATTCGTGATATTTATAATGACAAGGAATTTGATTTAAATCATATGAAAGATTGAGTACATCGAGATGAAATACTACATTTAGTAAGGAATTATAAGCCGAATAAAATAAAAACATCTGCCCTGAAGATAAAAATAGTGCTGACAGATCAACTTCCTAGTTCATTGTGCGCCGCGATCCCCCCCCCCTTCCCCGCAGAACAGCGTGAAATTGATTAACATATTTCGAAATGGTTAGAAAACCAAAGGATATGCCTTTATCCACTTTTTGCAGCAATTCCACTTTTTGTTTGATGGACATCGAATTATGCTTTCACTTTGTAGATCCTTTGGTAGCTCTAGAATCAGAAATTCTTTTTGACATAATCAAAAGTTCAAGCTTACTTTTATAAAATTGCTCTAACAGTCTGCAAAAAATAATAAGCCGGATCTAATTAGAAGATTAAGGAACAACGCAATCTGCAACATTAACTGAAATATATAATTTTAGCTTAGTTTATACCGTCTGTTATACATTAAACGCGTTTGAGTAAACGTATTATGCGCATGTATGGACGCATATGTGCATGCGTGAAGGTATTATGCGTTGACGCATGCGCACAAAGTTTGTAGCTTTGAGGTCCGGATTATGGACGTCCGAATTAAAGACTTTTGACTGTAATTCCTTTTCATGACTTGTATCCTTAGTGTACTTTATCATGCTTAAATAATTCAATCAGATCTATCGTATGTGCCTGACTAAGTCATAGAGAAGAGAAGGGCATTCATTAGCTGCATAACTACCATTTAATCATTTAAATTTATATGTTACTGATTTCTTCTAGTCTCATTGATTGACAAAAATGGCTTGTTATTTATAGCTGTAAATTTCTTTGTTTACATTTCTAAGTTATTTATCATTTCTCAGTAATTTCGTGTACCACATTTTGAATATTTTTTCATTTACGTTAGTAAGTACTAAAAACATGACACTTTTGCTGCTGCTCTGACAATGCTTTCCAGTTTAAAGTTCCAGTCTTTGTACAAAAGTGGACTTTACAATGCTGAATTAATTTAGCTTATTACATTTTTTTCCTAGTTTATTTTGTAGAGCATTTTCATATAAAATCATTGTTAAACAAGATTTAGGCAGAGAGTTGTTGTTTGCAAATGTAAATACTTATTCTGGAAACCTATATTAAACATTATTAATTTGTGAAAGAGGGCAAATTATGAATTTCATGCAAGCAACAGTTCATAACTTTTTTTTGGGGGGGGGATAAAACGTAAATAAATTGTTATTTTTAGTATAAGTTTGTATGTTTTTGTTTCTTCTAGAATGACTTTGCAGAGAGTGAAAATAAGTCTCATGCAGAATGAAAATTTAGAAACATGAAGCTTTTATTCTTTCCTCCCAACACCCAAGAACATAACATCATAAAGGATAGTCAAGAGAAAGAAGTCGGTATTTTAAGAGTATGCAGATTAGAATAAAAAGTTACTAGTATTCTGTAGATTTCAGATAAAATCTGCTGCTTTGAAAAAAAAAAAAAACCATTTCTAGAATATTCACAGTTTATGATAGTTAAATTCATAATTTATGTATTCATTTCCTGATTCACAAATGCTTTTTACCAGTCCTTGATGAACATAAAATGCTTCAAGAAAACTTTTGTGCCCCATTTTTTAGGATATCAGATCTATAGATATGCGATGAGGATTTAGGTTTAGAGATTAAGCCCTTTTACTGCAGTATTAAGTTAGTGTGTTTATTCTGATTTAGAGCTAATTTTCTAGAATATGACACACACAAAAGCCATCTGTGTAACTCGGGCATAAAGGAAAATGTTGCTACTCTAAGAAAGCTAATGACTGAAAACTCTCATAGCTCCTTTATTCATATTAAGGACATTCTATAGATTGCTCAGGGAATGTCAGCTCAATTAATCTGAATTAGCTTGATTTCATGAAGCAGTTTTTAAGTTTGTTCCATCTTTCTGTTAACCAGTAGAAAAAGAATTGTATGTCCTGGTATATTAATATTAAATAGCATAATAATGGAAAAAGTCTCAAGTGTTTTGGAAATCATTATTATTGGTAAAATGTGAATGAGATACAATAATGGTAAAGTGATAATTGTTTGGTAAATGGTTTGAATTTTCTTTTGAGAACTGCATTTGTATCGCAACACTGTTCCATTTTGTTTTGTGAAAAAGGAATTGAGACAAAAATAATTTTTATCATCAAATGAAGCTGTAGCAGCTTTTGAATAAAGTGTAAACAGTATCAAGTGAGCCCAGTTATTTGGCTGTTTTAAAAAATAGTGTCAGCAAATAGAAACTTGAATAAAATGTTGTAGGGAGAACAACATTTTATGCAAATGTTGTAATAATTCAATATCCCCCCTTTTGACATGGTATCTTAAAAGTTTTTAACCTGATACAAAGTCCTGCTTCCAGTTTCTAAAAGGGGATACAGAATGCAATTATAAAATTCTTCAATATGAAATACAATTTTTAGTTTTATTTCTGTAATTTCTTATTAATATATATGTGTGTGTGTATCTTTTTTGGAGGGGGGAGTTTAGATTTTTACAACTGCAGCTTATCACATGAATAATATTTAACAGTCTTTAATTATAATGTTATTCTTACTCAAAGAGTCTTAAAATCAGTGTCAAAAAGTAGCAAATTTTCAATTATTACCATTGTATTTTAAAATAAATCGTGCACTACTTTATTCTTTTTAAGTTCATTGAAACATAAATTTGTTTTGTTTTCTTCCATTCTTTCAAGTGATCTTTTAAATATCTTTTATATATTTTCAGTATTTTTTCTGTTGTAAATTATTTTATTTTAAATTGTAATCTGTGATTGTTTACTATGATGCTGTTTCAGCACTTTTAAAGTGCTTCAATTTGCCTATATTCTGTAGGCTTTAAAAATATAGTGATATGTATCCATCTTTGGTTTGTGACAAATAAGGCAAACCTTCTCTACAATTTGAAAGTGTGATAACAGTTTATTTATGGAAGCTTCATAATTTGTGTCCTATGGCAGCGTTTCCCAAAGTGTGGGTCACGATCCGGCACACGGGTCACAGAAAAATTCAGCTGGGTCATGACAAAAATTCTAGAAACATAAAAATCTATAACATTTTGCTCCAAATTTAATATTTTTCAAAACTTTTTCAAGTACTGCAGGTTTTATATACTGCAGATTCACCGTTTCCTACCGGACCGTTTAAATTCGGATGCTCTAATTGGCTGCTTTTGATTCGTCATTCAGTACCTTCTCTACATGCGCCGTAAACTCACATGTATCAAAACAAGGTTATGTTTGAATTTTTGTTACCTATTTTATTTGACAATAATTATTATTACCTATTATTAATAGCAACTTCATATTGGTAAGTAATATAAATATGTTTTCTTATTAATCATTAATAGTAAAATTCTTTTTGTTAAAGCTTTCAACATTTTTAAAATGGATAAATGGTTAATCAAGAAAACCACAGATTTAAATGATGATGATCAAACAAGCACGAGCAAAGCTGAACATCATGAACATAAAGAAACTGTGCCTGAAGCACCTAAAGCAGATGTACAGCACCAAAATAACAAGCGTAAAGCTACTTGGTCTCGCAACTATTGTGATGACAATATTTTACGCTTTGGGGTTCATTGCCGGTGGCAGTCAAAATAATTTGCCGCTATGTTTTATTTGCAATGAGCAACTTTCAAATGAAAGTATGAAACCGTCAAAGTTGAAATGGCATTTAAACACACTCCATTCGGACTACTCTGATAAGCCAATGAACTTTTTTACTGATAAGAAAAATAAATTGATTGCTGCTCAAAAGAGAGAGAGAGAGGAGGGGGGGGAAGAAAGAAAGAAGAAAAATACACTCTTACCTCACCAGTCAAATAAAAACCTGACTTTGACATTTTTTGAAATTTCCAAATTAATAGCTGAAGCTGGGTATCCTCATAGTACTGGAGAAAAATTAATATTTCCCGCTTTGAAAATTGTCGCAAATAATTTATGACGAATAAAGGAAAAATGTTTATGTTTGGAGATACCATTATCAAATAATACAGTTAAACGGAAAATTGATGATTGCGGAAAACATTTAGAAGAAGAACTAGTTGCTCAAGTAAAGAAGAGCAAGTTTTTTCCCCTTGCAAATAGATGAAAGCACAGATATCAAGAATAATGCAAATATGTGTTTTATCAGATATATTGACAAAGACACCATACAAGAAAATATTTTGTTTTGTAAAAGGCTACTAACAAGAACGACCTCAATTTTTAAGGCTACCAATAATTTTGTCACTAGTCACGATATTGATTGGATGAAGTGTATTGGGCTAAGTAAGCATGTGCAATGGCAGGCCTTCATAAAGGTTTGTTTAACCTTTTCGTGGGCCGTGGGAAGATTACTTCCCACCTACATGATCCTGGGAAATACACCTGTGGGAAGCGCAAAACCCACTATAATATATTGGCTTTGGTATTATAACGTTGGGAACTCTAATTCCCACTTCAGTATTGTGTTGCCATGTGTGTTCAATCGATTGAAAACAGAATTACCACATTTGTTTTGAAAGTTCGAACGCGTTGTGTGAGATCTGTTCCACTAAGACACCTGTTTTGATTTGACATTTGCATTTGCTATACGATTCTGCTACAAATGTAAGTAAAACACTGTTTTTATTATAATAACGTTCTCTTATTTTGTATATTTCTGCAAGAACTATCTAATATTGAATAATAAATAATGGATGGAAAGTGAAAATGCTATTGCATTGTGTATAAAAGCCACGTGCAATAGGTATGTTGGAAAAATTAGAATATTTTTGAAAATACATTTGAAAATATCATTCAATTCTACTGAGAAAGAAAAGGATTATTTTGGCATGATTTTTACCGAGGAAATTTTACAGAATATTGTTGACGAAACTCATATGCAAAGCAGCCTAAGAAAAGGAAGAGATTGGGTCATACCACAAAAGACATTATCCTGAACTGGAAAGAAATCACATCAGAAAATGGGTAGGTATGCATATACTCATGGGTAAACATCAATTGCCTGAACTGAAAAACTACTGCAGCACAGACCCTATTCTCAATGTTCAATCAGTAGCAAGAATAATAATCGCAAAGAGGTTCAAAAAAGTAACTGAGATTTTACATGTAAACGATAACAGCACAAATCCATGTGGGCAACTTTTGGGCATGATAAACTCCGATAAAAGTCAGACCAATCCTCTCACAGCTCAATGATTCCATACCTAAAGTCTACGAACCTTCGTCAACATTATGAATAGATGAATGTATGATAGCTTTCAAAGGGAGAACTTCATTGAAGCAGTATATGCCAATGAAGCCTATAAAAAGAGGTTACAAGGTGTGGTGTTTAGCAGACTCTAAGACTGGATATATTCAAAAATTTGAAATTTATTGTGGAAAAGAAACTTCTGATAATAAGGGTAAAATATTGAGCTTAGGGAAAACAAACTAAACTAACGGAAGATATGAAACATACAGGTTATCTTATAGCCTATGATAACTATTTGACATCTTTTAGGCTCGCAAAAAGTCTACTTATAAGTGGTTTGTTTTCTGTGGGGACTGTGAGGCCACAAAGGAAGGATCTTCCACCAATGCTGAAGGCTAATAACAAACTACAAAGAGGGGAATCAGTGTTCCTAACTAAGGAAGGTGTTGCTGCAATAAAGTGGATGGACAAAAAGGCTGTTACATTGTTGACTACTGCACACAATTCAGCGATTATTACATCTGTAAATCGTACACAAAAGGATGGTACTAAAACAGAAGTACCTTGCCCTAAAGCTGTTGCCGTATATAACGATATCATGGGAGGGGTTGATTGCTTCGATCAAAGAAAAGAAAGATACCAAATAGGAAGAAGATCTGTAGAATGGTGGCATCGTATTTTTGATTTTCTTATTGATCTTGGCATCGTAAATAGTTTTATACTGTGGCAAGTAAACAAGAGAAAGAGAAACAGAAGTTTAGACCAGCTAACATTCCGTATAGCATTAGCTCGTCAACTAATAGACGGATATTCCTCGAAAAAAGGAAAGGCCGTCCTGCTAGCTTCCAAGCAAAAAGGTGTGCAGTTCCGGATGATATACGCTTAGCCAATGTGGGAAATCATATGCCAAAGATGGTTTCCAACTATAGACGATGTAGGAAATGTAGCACAAAGGCCCAAGAAAAGAGGACCCGCTATATGTGTGCAGTATGTGATGTACCCTTGTGCATTGCAACATGTTTCTCATCTTTTCACGGCAAATAATCGCCTTTAAATTGAATTTTCTCTATGACCATAAAAGGTCCCGTGGGAAGTATACTTCCCACCCCTAGAATTTAAATTTAAATGTAAACAAAAATTTGGCAAAATAAAATATATTTCCTTAAATGCTATTGTTTAGTTGATAATAAAACATAAAAAAAAAACGGGAGAAATTCAAAAGAGAAATAAATGGCCCACGAAAGGGTTTAAAAATCAGATTGCAAAATGGTTGAGGATATACCGAGTATCGCAAACGGGAAACAATGCCTTAAATTTAAAAGCTTTGGAAAGGTAAATGTACTAAGGCATTAAATAGCAGACTTTTTAGAATTATGAAGGATAGGAGTGATCATAACACCTCCTTTGTATTGTTAATTCATGATGGCTTCCAAAAGAAAATATTTTTAAAATGTGTGTTTAAGCTAAAAGACGAAGCTTTGGTATTTCTGAATGAACACCACCATCTAAAAAAATGCTATTTTTCTATTTAAGGATAGATTCCATGATTTCGAGTGGTTAATAAAAGTAGCTTACTTGTGTGACATAGTTGCTACATTCAATGAATTGAATTTAAATTTGCAAGGATTTTTGGTTTAAATATTTTCAAAGTATCAGAAAAAGTCGCTGCAATAATTAAAAAAATGACTCTGTTGAAACAACGACTTTCAAAAGGAAATTTTAAATCTTTTGAAATATTACATGAATTTGTTGAAACCCATTCAAACTACAATGAAGAAGATGTGCATCTTGAAACACTATCAGTTTCAATTCAAGAACATCTTTTGGAGCTAATAAATAGTTTTAAAGACTACTTTCCGGATATTCCTTCAATTAATATGTGGATTAAAGATCCTTTTCCTGTGGATATTGAAAAGGAAGAAATGCTTAATCTTAGTGAACAAGAAGTTGATAATTTAATTGAAATTTCATGCGACACCGATCTTAGAAAAGTGTTTGAAACTGTACCACTAATTAATTTTTGGTTGCGCTTGTCAAAAGGAATATCCAATCGTAAGCGAAAAAGCGATACAATTTTTAATGCCTTTTTACCACTTATACGTGTGAACATTGCAATTCTCAGCCTTGGTGTACTTAAAAAAAAGTATCGAAACAGATGGATGTCAAACCTAATTTGAGATAAAATTAACATCATTAAGTCCTAATTTGAAATTACTATGTGATGAAAAACAACACATCCTTCGCACTAAGATCAAAAATATGTAAAAAACAAAATTACTTTAAGTTTTAAATAAGATAATGGATTGTCTTTAGTTACTTATGTTTTTGTTATATAATTATTTTTCAATTTTTGTGTATGAAATAAACAAACAAATAACTTGAATTTTGATTTTTATTAAAAAATAAAATTTGTTTTGTAAAAAAATGTTTTTTATAAGGTGAGTCGCGAAAAAATTTAAAATCTCGTATCGAACCGCAGACAAAAAAATTTGGGAAACGCTGTACTGTGGTGTTGAAAGAGCATTTTCAGTTTGTGTTCATGTATATAACCCCATTGTCATATATTTTATTTTGTGAAACTTTTATATTTATGCCATATTTAGGTCATTTATTTTACTGTATGTAGTTATATAATAAATTTTTTACTGATTTTGTTTTGAAATTTTATGAATTATAATATTTTGGCATCCCTTGAAAATATAGTTTTATACATTCTTTTATGGCCATTCATATGCATTATTTTGAAGTTGCACTTTTCTACAAAGTCATAATTTGTGATAATCAAGATTTGTAGTAAAATGATTATCACAAACTATTTATAATTGAGTCTGTATTAAACATTTAGTTACACTAATGTTAGTTGCATTTTGTGTTGTACATTTCCCACTACTAGGACATAAATTAAGATGCTTAAAATGTTTCAAGATCTATATTAGAATTATAATTCAAACTAATTAAATACTAGATCTGAGATGCTATGAAAGTTTTAAGTTTCGGGAAAATGTACAATTTTATTCTAATGATCAGATCTATGTTTTTGAACTTAAAATTATGTTGCATCTATTACATCTTAATCTGCCTGAAATATGAACATTATACATATTGGCATCTAACATGTGAAATATAAATACTATAGGACCTTTAAAAAAAGCAAGTTTGGTATATAAAAGCTATTTATTTTATGCTAAGTATGTACATTTACAGTTACTAACCGCAATCGATCAAGAACTTATTTATGTGTGTGTGTGTGTGCGTGTGTGTGAAAATCGGAAGATATTGAAGGAGAAAGAAACTATGAGAGCTCGGAGAGGGAAGCCAATAAATATACAGTATAATGTCCGAAATTCAGACATTCAATATCCAGACCAGCAACGTTTTGCAAAATGAGAGGATTATGCATGCATTATAGACATTTTTTTTTTTTCTCTTAATATAGCGTGTGGAGAGTCCTGATCTTAATTTCACTTTCGACACTAAACAAAATACCTCCATGTTGAGTAAACACAATCATTTATTAGCAAAAATCTATATGATAAGTATTTGGCTCAATGGCCACTTTATTGTTCGGCATGCATATCAAAGCATTCTGGCAGTTTATTAGGCCCTTTTTCAAATTTTGCTTACGTATGCTGTCCCAGAAGAAAGGAAAGAAGACTCAAGATAAATTAATATTTAAAGTTTAATTTAAGCAATGCAGTGCATAAAATGACTATAAATATATTTCTACAATTTAATTATAAAAAAAATCTATTGAAAATTTTTAGTTAAAAATTTAACAAATCAATAAAAAGAATTTTTTTTCCACTTCATGACTAGTCCATTACCTTGACATTATTCTCCCCCAATTAGTTTGTAAATCTGCCTAAAGGGGACAGTACATGTTCAATGTAGTCAAACTTAGCTTGACTAGTTTATCTATATCACTGAATATGTACTGCCCCTTTTAGATAGATTTATAAACTAATTTTGGATTAAATAATCTCAAGGTAATGGACTTGACATGAAATGGAAGACAAATTATTTTTCTGTTGATTTGTTAAAGAAGAAAAAATTCTGTAATTAATTTTTATCATGAATATAACACACTAATAGGAACAAAGGATTTAAATTTGTGACTATCTATCTTTATGGATTTCTTAAACTTTCAACCTGGTGTTGGCAGCAGAAACTCCTTCATCAATTTGTTGCAGGATGGGGGACACGCCTTCTTCGATTTGTTGTTTGACAGAAGAAACTCTTTCTTAAATGAATCCAACTTTATTTTCAATCGTCTTTTTCCTTTTTTCCGAGGCCCCGAATTTGTTTTCTATTACACAGGTAATTTCTCTTTTCATTTCTTCCCGGCCTGTGTCAATCTTTTCTTGAACTGATTTGACGACCCTTTCCTTCCATCTTCCTTAAACAGCTTCCATCTCTTCCTTAACAGGTTCTTGGCTCGCTTGCATGTCTTTTTGGCCTCCCTTCTTCACTTGTTTAAATGCAGCAAAGACTGCCACAAGCTGTTGCTCATTCATCGGTTTTGTAACTGGCATTCCCCACTTCTGACACCAAAAACTGTTCCATGCGAATCGGTTCATAATAGATTGAATGCACACGGAATTGATGATAGCTTGGTAAAATCTATTTTAGCAAAAGGAACACTTCACTGTTCTGGAATTTTCAACAAAATTACTCGTGCGACTCTGCAGAGTTTCAAAAGATACAATCACATATTACACTTCACACTACTATGAATGTTTAACACAACGCAATGCAAAATCACATCTAAAGAGCGGATATCATAATACTCTGAATTCAGATTTGAACTAATAAAAACTTAGAAACCGATGCTCTCTCCGTTCTTATATAGTTTTCATTTGGCCACTGAGAAGTCTGTAATAAATTCCATTTCTTGAAATAAATTGAATGCATATACGGTTAAAGTTACATCTAAGGGCCGAATGCGGAACAGTTGCATATAGTGATCAATTACATTTATACAATTACAATATCCATTACAATTATGCAGATACCGGACCGAAATACCGCCAAATGGTTGGTAATTTCTCTCCTGAGACAAAAGTTAGTCGCCGAAACCATGGCCAGCTTGGCGATATCTGGCCAATTTAGCGAGATAGCCATTTGCTCAGTGTTAGATAGACTTGCCCCTGTATTCTTACTTTTCCGGCAAAGCAGCGCCTCCTTAAATTTTTGTGTTAGATTACATAAAAAATATTAAAATTTCACTAAATTATTTATATATGTACAAAATTAGTAACATTATGTAAAGAATGTCTCATTTTAAATTTTTCGAACCAACTATTACTTGCTTGAAACACTGCCTTTGAATCTGCATTTAATATAGTTTTCCAGTTTTCATACAAACTGACAGCATTAGTTTGAATATCGAAAAATTCAAGGGGACATTATTTTGATTTATATCATCAATCCATGATGACGGATATCTTTTCATTTTATCCATCACTATACCATATCTTTTGGAAACAATCCTTGAAGATACATTACCACAGTTTTGAACGTGCTCCTTAATTTTAATCTATAAGGTAATTCTCCTGCCTTCCTAGCGTGTCTTCGTGGTGTAGTGGTTCTGCACGCTGGAGCGGTATTCCAGAGGTCCGTGGTTCGATTCCCGGGGAAGGTGATTGCTCATTTTTCATCTTGCTTGCTTCCAAAAATACCTAATGTCTCTAAAAATCTTATTTTTTGGAAGCGAACTATCATAGGTCTGTTTACATCCTAGAAACTTCCGGCTGAAACTAAGAATTCACCATTTTCAGAACATTTAATTATCTCCATCTCTTTGTTCAAGTTTATGAGTCTGTAATTTCTTTTCCTTCGTATTAGCACTGCAGTTTCTACGCTTCTCATGTTTACCAATTCATAAGGACGACATATTTAAACATGATAAACTGACATTGACGCACACCCTAAATTCAAGACTGAAACTCTTTTGACCTCTTGCTCGGAACAGCACAGTAATGATTAAGATTCCGAGAAGTAGTTACTGTAGGAAGGTAATGTGTGTCTATGATGTATGTTACTTCACCTTTACTCTCGTCATGGCTGCGAACGCTTCCTGCTGACAAGAGTAAGGGGGAAAAAAAAGCATTGCACGAGTGAGCCAAAAAAGGTTAACGGGCAAGCAGATTTTTTCATTATCTACAAAAATTTTTAGAAATGTGCGAATTCTGCGATAATAGAACGTCCTAAAATAGAAAGGATGCGGGATGACATATACACTCTTGTGCAAAATTAAGAGACTGCAAATTAAGTCTGCTTTGGTGGAAAAGTATTGAATCGAAGATAATACTTATGCAAATATTCAGAGTCGAGTACCTAAGTATATATGTGTATGTCTTCGGAGCTGTGATTATGGAGGGGATATAAGGGCACCAGGGGTTTTCGACAATTTGGTGCGCTCGTGCTCTTTCACGAAATTCGTCGTGTTTCTCCAAGACGTGAGTAGCCATGCACTTATGAAGAACAGAATGAGATGAATTTTCGATGAAGAACAGAATGAGATGAATTTTCGGTAGATTGAAAGTAATCCAATTACAGGTCCAGATGGTTAAGGAGCTCAGTGTAACGCCTAGTGTTGTCTTCAGTTTGTAGAAACTGTTTCATGACAGTGGATCCGCATCGAGAAGATCTCGACAAGGTGTACCGAGAACCACAACCACGAATGAGGATCGTTATTTGGAAATTTCAACGCGCCGACACAGGACTGCTATAGCTTCACAGCTGTCACCTGAGCTGTATGTTGCCACTAGAATTCAAGTAGTACGGTCTACAGTTTGTTCGAAGGCTTCATGAGAATATTCAGAAATAAGTATTTTTTAGCAAATACAATCTTTCCCTAAGTGAGCGTTCATCGCTACTTCTGCCGCCATTAATTTTTGGTGACAACACATGATTGCTCCTTTTTTTACCACGTGACCCCAACGCATCCGCAGACATACGGATAGAAGTTGAACATTAGGAGGCACTGACTCCATCCGTACGTCATCCGTCATCACACATCGACCCGATTACAGATGTCAATAAAAGTGAAGTCGCTCGCTGATTGGAGAAACTCATAGGCACCGCAACGCATACGCAGCAGTGGAAACGGGCCTTAATTTTTGAATAAATAATATTGCTGATATAATCATCAGTTGCTAAAAATTTTTAAAGTTTT